CTGTAGACAAAATGCGGTGTTCGTTAGTGTGTATCATAATTTGAGGCTTGAATGCTGAGCGATGAGCGGCTTGTACTGTGCCACTTTGTTAACCGCCTAGTTTAAGACAGACATGGGATATTATAGCACCTGGGCTAGTGCTGTAGTAGTGCAGTGCTGAAGATGATGAACTGTGCACCGTAATCTTGAACAACGCGACCTGAACGCATCCAAGATCCCGAAGTTGCGCAAGAAAAAGCCAGGCTGCGAAACGCATTAAAACCAGCAAAGGGCTGTAGTTGACAAAAACATGCAAAAGATAAGTTATCTAGCTCCCGCCCTATATGTACAGAGCAAATGCGAGCACCTCAGCGTCGTTGCTCACCCGGCAAACGTGCGACTACAGTTGCATGTATGTATCGACTAACCTGCGAACGTGTGGTTCATCAGCTGATGCCATCTACTTGATATAGGGTACGCACTTGAATCACTCGCTGTCCACGCAGACTTCTGCCTCGCAGCAGCAGCGGCAGCGCAGAAATACAGAAATACAGAAATACAGAAATACAGATCCACTTCCTAATAGTGCCGCCCTCGTATTTCCTGCACGTAGACACAAATCAGTATTCTGCCATGTCACGGAGCTTGATCTAGAAAGTTGCTTACCAGAGGGCAAAGGTTGCTCCAGGCATGCAGGTCACGGGTGCGATGAGCAAATTGTCAATCCTCAGCTCCAGGAGCCGTCCGTGCTCGTCTCACCCATCCGGATGCACGACCGTCGGATAGTCGAGACGTCCGCCTCGCCGCCACGGTGGCGCGCAGGGTCGCAGAGATGCACCACCTTCTCGATGTCTCAGTGGCCTTCGAGACCGTCTTCGCATGACACGAGAGAAATTTGGGACTTTTTTGTCGCAAAAAATAAGTAAGAAAAGGCCGTATTTTTTCGCTCGGTATCCGGCATCCCGGCAACTCGGCAATCCGGCATTCGAGCCGATTATCCGCCGGGTGCCGCCGTCCCCAGGGCACTTTGATAGACGGCCTGGCGGACAGTCGGCTCGGCTGCCGGATACCGAGAAAAAATATGACATATTCTTATTTATTTTTACAAGCTGTTTTTGCATTTTTTTGCAACAAAAAAGCTCCAAATTTCTCTGGTGTGAGCACCCGGTAGCCTCTGCGTCCCGGTCGCCCTTGGCCGTGGCCCGAGACACAGGTGATGATCAACGGTGCCGAAGCCATGTCGAACATCATGCTGTGTACGACTGTTATGGATTGCGGAATTTTGATGTCTCGGTGTGCTTGTACGAAAATCTCGGGTGTTTGTCGCAACCGCATCCCACAGTCACTATAAAGCGCAGCTTCCGTTCGAGGCCAGGTTAGCGACAGAGGCGGGCGCATATATGCAGTACTAGGGATATTGACATCTGGGATAATCTGCTCGGTCAACCATGGGTTTCGAGTGGCAGAAGCCTGGGGGACTTACCATTCATCGAAAACGTCGCCCATCGCGCCAAATATACACAGGCCGACACGACGCACGGGTGCTTGAAGCCTGGGATCGAGATTCAATGTGAATTGAGGTTTACTCGAGAAGGAGACTCACACGATGCTTTGAAGCTTGAACACAATTCTTCTGCGCTGATGAAATGCGCGCAGATATTCCAGCGTGGCTTTAACTTCGGTGCTTCGAGCACGAACTTGGGTGCGGTTACCAGCTCCTTCGCCCGCCCCGTCGCCCGCCCCACATCTAAGCGATCCTCGACGCACACCTTCGACTCCCTGACCGATCGTGAACGTCAAGCTCTCGGGAGACTCCGATATAAACTAGAATGCTGCGTCGGCGCACTCCTACGGCGCGAGCATGTCGAGGTCGAATGAGCGTTATTGCCCAACGTGTGCGAGGCAGAGACGGAGACAATGTCTCACGAGAGGCGCTGGGTTTGTGGCCGGGCGAACTATGATGTCAGGTTCAGCTTTGCCATCGCACGGCCGCGATGACTAGGATCCAGCTGAGAAGGCGAGATGTCGTGGAATCGGCAAAGGTTTGCACAGATATTGCCTTGACAATGCAACTTGGGGACGGTTTCTTAGCCTAGCAGTCACGCGGTGTGAGTGTGCCTTCCGTACCAGCCAGATAAACACGTCCTGCACGCCCAAGCCAGAAGACGTTTTTGACACGTGGTGCGTGGAGCACTGCATCACAGATGCGGTCGAGGACACGATGCGGGAAGGGCGGTAGCATGATGATCGGTGCTGGTGTGCGTGAAGAGCATGGTGGACTGTTGAAAGCGGTGCTCGCTCTTTCCTGCTTCTTCGCCCGGCCTAGCACGTGACGATTTGTAGACGTAGTTGATCGCGAATGTCCTGGCAGGATGACGGGCGCAAGGAGGGAGCGTAGGAGATGGCAGAGCAGCCAACGGAGGTGGAGTTGAGTTCAAGTTCGAGCACGAGAGACGTCAGTTTGCAATCTTGCGTCATACAGTACACTCACCAACAAGGTTCAATGGAAGATCGGAGGATCCCTTGACAGGCGCGTCCGACGATATTTGGCTCATAGCTTGTTCATGATGGGTTGACCGCGAGGCGGCCATGCATCAGACTGGAACGAGGCCCGGCGTGCGCAGCCTATCCCCGTCTTGCCCTCGTCGCCGACAGCTATCGTCTTCGTTCCCATTTCCCCTACGAGCCACAGCACACTCCAGCCTTCACTCGAATAGTTGGTTGCACTATGCCCGCGGACACGGCTCCCCCTGGCAAACCTGACGAAAATACGTCGGGCAATGGCCGCGCTAAGGTGAGTGTCCTTGGTCCCCGCACGCCGCGCTCGCTCGGACGACTTGTTCTCGTTTGTACAGGACAAGCCCGGCCTATCTGGATGGGCCGGAATCGAAGACCATCTCTTCACCAACGATGGGGGTAAGACCAAGGGATACACCGAGGACATCGACACCTTGCTCGTCTTCGTAAGTCTCTTCGGTTCTCGACGCTTTCTGTATCAATTAGCGCTTACGAACACCCCATCAAGGCCGGTCTCTTCTCCGCCATCCTCACAGCATTCGTCGTACAGACATACCAGATGCTCCAACCAGACACCCAAGACACCACCAACCAACTCCTCGCTTACAACAGCCAACTCCTCTTCTACGGCCACACCTATCCCCGGAACCGACTATCACATCCCTCCCACCCTCAACAGGACCATGAACTCCGTCCTCGAATCCCAGCCATTCTCTCCCTCAGCCTCGGCACGTTGGATTAACGTGCTCCTGTTCACCAGCCTCGTCCTCAGTCTCGCTGCCGCACTGTTCGGGATCCTGGCCAAGCAGTGGATCCGCGAGTACATGCTTTGGAACTCGCCGCTTGCCACTCCTCGGGAGAATGTACTAGTGCGGCAGATGCGATTCGAGGACTGGGAGTCATGGAACATCGATGCGACGATTACCGCCGTTCCCGCACTGCTTGAGATCGCAATGGTCTTGTTCCTGATCGGCATGGTGACCCTTCTGTGGACGCTTGACGACGTTGTCGCGATTATCTTGACGGTCATCGTGTCTGCGTTCCTTCTCACCGTCTCTGCGTTCACCATCCTCCCCGTCCTGTTCCTCCGATGTCCATACCGCTCCCCGACCGCGAGAGCCTGCCTTGCATTGTGCCAGATCATTCGAGCACTCATTTCATATCTCTTTAATGCTATGCGCGAGATACGTCGCGTCATCGCCGCTCGGTGGAGGCACACTTGTGAGAAGCGGAGTGCGCATATGCCACGTCATAGCCAGCCGGCGAGACAGTCCACTCCCGTCTCATCTGATTTGGAACACTCCCCCAGGAGGAGTTCATTGCATCTTTCTGTCCAATCCACTCCACCGGACCCACCAGTCTTGCTGCTCGCTCGTCTGCTGTCTGCTGTACAGTCACTGCCGGCGAGGATCACGTCTACTGCTCAGTGCTTATGGGACATGATCTCTGTAGACTGGAATAAAGAACGCATCGAATTTCAAACCGTGTCATGGCCCCGGTATGTGAGAAACTGGCGCGAGAGAGACCTTGCGAGCCGGAGATCTACCAAAGTCTGGACAGGAAGGTGGCGTTCACCATGGCAGGATGTCACACAAGCTGCGAAGGATGCCCTTAGAAGTGAGGAGCGCGATTATGGGGAAGACGGGCAGCACCAGCCTTACTACCTACTAGTAGACCGTGTTTTGTATGCGCCGAATACGGCGGACGCGGAGCGCCTCCTAGTGGATCTATCAGAGGTTACTCTGCTTCTCCGAGCCTTGTCATGGGTCAATCAGTCCTCTCAGGCTCCACGCGTCAAGGCATATATTGACACCTGTGTCGAGACCATTCATTCAGACACAGTAGCAGCGGCAGGTCAGAGGCGTAGAGGCAACATTACTGCAGCCGCCACATGGCTGATTGTCGTCGCACTCGGTGATCGACAACTCCTTTTAAATCCCCTACGCATCTTTCTTCCCATCAATGGCTTGAGTGGTGCTGAGCCACTCAAAACACAGATGCTTGGCCTCAGGCAAGCCTCCGGCATCTGGATCCGTCGGTTGGGCCGTTATGACATCGGGGAACTAGCACAGAGACAGGAGCGGTCGCTTTCAATCACAGCCGCAGACAAGTCGTGTCAGCACATCATTCCTATCTTCGAGCGCACCATTGCGGCCGACATCAAGCATGTGTACATGCGCGAGGCACGACCAGACATCAGAGGCCTGCGGCGAGCTGCAGAACTATTTACACTCCTTACTCGGACTGCTTGCGGCACTCCGCCATTCCTGGCAGCTTCTGAATCCCTTCTACGTTGGCATGGATATCGAGACTTGCCACTTTACTTTGAAGTGTTCAAATTGGCCGACGAGTACGGACATATCAGTGTGAGCCCTACAGATAAATCTCTAGGTGAGTCTATCTAGTCTGTTTCCTCAAACAGCTTGGTCATGCATGCCATCTTTGCCTACCCCCAGCTGTGCGCACGCCAGACGAAACAGCTACTGACTACCCATCGCTTATCCTCAATTGGTTTGAAGATGACCTGGCATCTGCTTCTGTTTCTCAGCTCCGAATCTTCCTTCTGGTCTCAAGTCAGTGGCTGGGCAGTATACACTCGCAACGCCTCCGGGGCCTTAGCTCAACAGACTCTAAAGTACTGGAGAAGATTCACAAGGCACTAGAGGAAATTGCAAGCCGAGGCCTTTCTGACGGAGATAGTGTGGATCCCAATGCTACAATTACACTATCTCTGGCGCCGTTGGAACTGCTAGTCGACCGCATCACCATGGGAGAGGCTCCCTACGGCCTACCTGTGCGCCAACTTGTCCATACCTTAGAGAGGTGCTACCACCAGAGTGTGCTAGATGACACACTTTCGGTCAGGCGGAACCTGCATAAGTGTCTCCAACGAGTGCATCAGAACATGCAGGAGAGGTGCGAGAAGTCGAGCTGCCGCTGGATCTCTCACACCTGCGATGAAGACGATTACTATCTCAAGATTTGTCCTCTACTGTTCAAAAGTGCTGAACCTAGTGACCGGGCTGGAGTTGCTGCACTTTCCGGACTTCCCAGACCCTCCAGCGCACTTTCAGATACTCCAGGAGCCTTATCCCGGCAACACGGGCTCAGCGAGGCTGACGCCGAGCAAATGCGCCCGGCGCCGCATCCCCCTCTGACAAACCCCGCCGCGACGGCACCAGCACGAATGGGCTTCCTCGGCACTTTGGATGCAGACTACCGTGACACCGGCTTCGTGGACGACTGGTTCCTCGTATATCCACTGCATGCACGCGGGCGGGACGACGCGCTTGACGCCAATATCGGTAAGGCTGCTCCACATGCAGCCCAGGTCGCATCCTCGATCGTCCAATCCAGCGGCGCAGACGCTCAGCCGCTCGAGAAAACGCCACAAGCGAGTGGCAAGATCTCAGTCGATTCGGGGCCGGGGCCGGAGACCGCGAGCGCAGGAGGCAGAGTCGGCCAGGAGGACGAACGGTCTGTGACGGGGAACGAGGGCTGCGAGCCGCATGCATGCCGCGAATTGGACACGGAGGGGGACGCCGTCCCGTATCCGGCGCATTCAATGTCGGTCGTGCTGCCGCCGCCGTTGACGGCTCACGTTGGTCCCTCGACTCCACCTTCGAATACCTCCTTGTTAGATGATTCAAAGTCTGCGGATGAGCCCACCTACCGTGCGTGGCAGTTTCAGAGCAGTGGCTATCTTCAAATCGCTGACCGTGATTTGCAGGCGTTCCACCTGATGCAGCGGAAGCCGGTGTTCGGCCCCAGGCGGAGCGGCGTACAAGCTCTCGGGACGCGTCGTCTTTGTTCCAGATTCAGTCAGGAGATGTCGACCGGGGTATGGAAGAGTATGAAATGGGAGCTTACCGTCGCGACGGCTCAGAGGCTTCAGGCGCAGGAGAGTAAAGGTGGAACACCTAGGGAAAGCAGACGGTTTGTGGAAAAGCAGATCGTAGCGGAGTGGAGCACCAGAATACGTATGTTACGGCAGCGTATGGTGGCAGAACTACGTGACATGTATCAGCAAAAAGGAAAAGATTGGACGAGCCATATGCGTTGAGGACCTGCGGGTTGTTCTAGTATAGGAGGTAGGGACAGAAGGCCGACGTGTTCGACACACGCGCAAGCAAGGCTCGCCGATAGAGAATTCGGCGCGGACAAATCGCTGTTAATTTTTGGGACAGGACTGAGCCTGAACCTTGTAATTACACTGTCGGCGAGGCATCTGAACGAGCGGAGGGCTGTGATCGACGAAAGCATGCAAAAAGTAAGTTACCCAGTTTCCGTCCTACATGTACGGAGCAAATGCAAGCACTTCGGTGTCACCGCTCAGCTGGCAACATGCGACACCAGTTACATGTATGTATCGACCAGCCTGCGAATGTGTGATCCGTCAGCTGATGTTATCTAATTAATTACAGGGTACGCACTCGAATCACTCGCTGTCCGCACGGACTTCTGCGTCGCAGCCGTGATGGCAGCACAGGAATGCAGTAAGGTATTTTCTGCACCTAGACACAAACCAGTTTTCGGCCACGTCGTGGAGCTCGATCCAGGGAGTAGCTTACCAGACGCCAGAAGTTGCTCCAAGTATGCTTGTCGCGAGCGCAACAAGCAGCTCGTCAATCCTCAGCTCCAGGAGCCGTCCGTGCTCGTTGTCTCGTGCATCCGGATAAACGACTGTCGGATAGTCGAGACATCCGCCTCGCCGCCACGGTGGCGCGCACGGTCGCAGAGATGCATCGTCTTCTCGATGTCTCAGCGGCATCCGAGACCCTCTTCGCATGAGCACCCCGTAGCCTCTGCGTCCCGACCGCCCTTGGCCCGTGGCCTGGGACACCGGGGATGGTCGGTGGCAGTAGGTCAGAGAGCTATGTCGAATGTCGTGCTCTGGACGACCGTTAAGGACTGGGAAAATTTGATATCTCGGTGTGCTACATCGATTTCTCGCGTCTCTGTCGCGGCGTATCTCCAAAGGCTCAATTGATTATAGCTTCCATCCCGAACCAGGCTAGACGAGAGCGAGTGCATTTATGCAGTACTAGAAATATCGTTGGTAGCATCTGGGATAATGCGTTCGGTCAGCCATGAGTTTCGAGTGGCAGAAGCTTAGGGGACTGACCATTCGTCGAAACGTCGCCCATCGCGCCAAGTGTACATAGGACAACACGATAAGCGGGGCCTTAAAGCCTGCGATCGAGATTAGGCGAGAATTCACGTTTACTCGGGAGGAGGATTCACGGAATGCCTCAGGCCCAAACACTTTGCTTCAGGCCCGAACACTATGCCTCTGCGCTGATGAAGGGCGCGCCGATATCCCAGCGGGGTTTCGCCTTCGATGCCGCGAGCGCGAACTTGTGCGCCACCAGCTCCTTCACCCGCCTCGTCACCCACCCCCCATCTAAGCAATCCTCGATGCCCGCCTTCGATTCCCCGGGCGATCGTGAACGTCGGACTCGAGAGAGACTCGGATATAAACCAGAACGCTGCGTCGAAGCATTCCCGTGACGCACGAGGATGCCGAGGTCGGACGAGCATTGCTTGCCAACGTATGGGACGGACCTCATGGAGACGATGTCCTGCACGAGGCGCCGGTTCTGCGGCCAGCCGACCTGGGGGTGCGTCATCGAGTAAGCAATTAGAGCTCGACTAGGACTCGAACACCTGATATCCTCGAGCGTTCGCAGCTCTAGGAGGCTCCTTACAACGGGACAGCCCGGTTGGAGAGTTTGGAGAATTTCAGCGTGGATGGGGAGATATGGGAGGTGAGAGCAGCATAGCGTGGGCAGGATGCAGATGCCGCGCAGGCAGAGTATTTGAAGCCGGGTTGGAAAGAGGGCGGCGAAGGTGGTCGTGATACAACACCGAGAATCACGCTGTATTTCGAACGTTGACTAGCCTATCACGCGTGTGGTGTGAGTAAGAGAGAGTATAGGACCTAGTGCCTTCCGTACCAGCCAGAGAGACACGTCCTACATGCCCAAGCTGGAAGACGTTTTTGACACGTGGCGCGCGGGACACTGTATCATAGATACGGTTGAGGACACCATAAGAGCAGGGTGACAGCATGATGATTGGTGCTGGTGTGCGCGGAGAGTGTGGTGGGCCGTTGAAAGCAGCAGCTTTTGTCCAAACTCGCTCTTCCCTACTTCTTCGCTTAGCACGTGGCATATCGTATACGTATAGTCAGGCGGGACGCTGTACGCCACGAAGGATACAAGGCAGTATGCGTAGTACATGGCAGAGCAGCTGGCGGAGGTGGAGGAAGCTGGGCCGGTCTTTGACGCGAGAGATGATCAGTTTGCAATCTAAAGGAAGTAAGCAGGGCATCTTATCTCGGTCTTTCCATACAGTACACTATATTATCAGATAACTCCCACAAAAGAAATGTCGCGGCACAAGACTGCTCACACCATTAACCATGCCCGCCCACGATTGCGCGAACCCGACTCTTACTCCTACAGACGATCCTCTCATTGCTGAGACTACAGTGGTCGACGAACGTTCTGCGCTCGCTTCGCGGTTGGTAGACGTTCACAGCATCTGCCAGCCTCCGATCATGTCGCGTCCACCCTCCGGTTCCGCAGGGCTGTCCCTCGCTCATTCCAACATCCTCGTGTGGAACACGAAAAAGAAGCGCCTAAACAGACTTCAAAAGCTGCCACAAGCACGACGTCGAAACCTCCGGCAGAGCCGTCACCTTCGAAGGTAGCACCGGACGACACCGCGCACGTTACCGTGAAGCAGCAGCGAAAGAACGACTGGAAGATCGTCAAGCAACTGTCAGGTAACTTGTGGCCGAAGGATGACTGATCGACGAAGGCGAGAGTGGTGGTTGGCATAGGTCTCTTAGTCGTCGGAAAGGTGTGCTTGCAGGCTCTCTGGCATGTCTCGGGTTGACGATTGACTATGTGCTCAACGTTCAAGTCGCTCTGCTTTTAGTGAACATCGTAGACTCTT